TGGTGGTAAAATGAAAGGAAGTTGCTGGTATTGTGAGAAGGAAGGGCACCCCTGGATTTTGTGCTATAAGAAACCCGATGGATGGACCCCCCAGAATCGTCACCAGGATGGCGGCGCGCGGAGGAACCAGAAAAACGGCGCCAACATGGTCGCTGATTCGTCCGACAACAACCCGAAGGGCAACGGCGGTGCGGAGAAGAAGAAGGAGCGCACCGCGGGCCAATTCTTCCATGTGGGAGACAAGGGGGAGCAAGGAGACGCATCTGCTAAGGTTGGAGCAGAGCTGCACCCCCTGGACTATTGGGTGTTGGACACAAGCGCTGCTTGGACAATGACGCCGCGCAAGGACCTGCTGGACGACGTACGCGCTGCACCGATTAACGAGGTGTGCTCTTCCTCTGGACACATGTTGAAGGTGGCTGGTGCGGGACGAGCTGCGTTTAAGGGAGCAGATGGCAAGCCGGTGGTGCTGCACGACGTTCTCCTCGTCCCCGACCTGAAGGCCAACCTTATCTCCCTCCGTAAGCTTGGCAAGGCTGGGGTGAACACCAACACGGATGGGGCTCGCACTTATAAGGGGAAGCTGGGCAATCGGGTGCTTTGGGATTTGCACGAGAGCAAGGACGTCTACAGATCTATGTGGCAGCTGCCGGCGATGGCGTGGCACGGTGGGCGGCAGGCTGGAGAGGGGTCTGCATCTCAGGGGGAGTGCAACGCCGTTGGACGGGTTGGTGTGAAAGTGTCGGCCAGATCTGGGGAGACGGATTGGGCAACAGCAAACAGACGATTGGGGCATGTGGCAATGCCCTTGTTGAAGCAGTTGGAGAAAGATGGAGCCGTTAAGGGTCTGAAGCTGAACGGACAACCACCCGATGATAATTGTGAAATTTGCCTGCTTTCAAAGTTCACCCGTTTCCCCTTCCATAGTGTGGCTGGCAAGAGCAAAAAGCCGTTGGAGCTGGTCCACATGGACTTGGTGGGGCCGCTGCCGGTGCAAGGGCACAAGGGGGAGCGGTACTTCCTAACCATAGTGGATTACTAGAGCAGGCTAATGTGGGCGTATCCGCTGAAGCACAAAGATCACACCGCCTCCACGATTCGGGACGATTGGCTGCCGTTCGTGGAGAAGCAAGCGGAGTGTGTGGTGAAGCGGATTAGGACAGATCGGGGTGGTGAGTTCCTTGGAGCTGAGATGACGGCCTGGCTCAAGAAGCAGGGCATCCAGAGGGAGCTGACCACGGCTCACACCCCACAGTCTAACGGTGTAGCAGAACGGGCGAACCGGACAATTCTGGAGACAGCTAGGGCGCCGCTCAGAGAATCTGGGCTGGGCAACTTGATGTGGCCCCATGCTGTTCGGCACGCTACCGTCGCTAGGAACAGGGTACTCACAAAGGTTGGGAATGACTCGTGGGTGCCGTTGGAGAGGTGGCTTGGGAGGAAGCCGCCGGTGGACATGCTGAGGGTGTTCGGTTGCATGGCAGTCGCCCACGTCCCCAAGACCTACCGCAGTAAGTTGGGGGCGAGTGCAATCTGGTGTGTGCATTTGGGGCTGGCTGCTGAGAGCAAGGGATGGCTGCTGTGAGAGCCTTCTAAGAGTGTGTTGTTTGACAGCAGGGATGTGAAGTTTGTTGAGGGCATGATGTATGGGAGCTGGGAGAAACAGCCGGAGGCCAGGGTGTCCCAGCAGATCGAGCAGATCACCATGCAGCTGGACCTGACTCCTAGTGTGTGGGAGGAGGGAGAAGAGGCAGCTGCAGAGGGTGGTGATGGAAAGAAAGTACAGGAGGCACTTGCTGGTGGAGAAAATGATGTGGAGACTAGCACTAGTGGAGCTGCTGGATCTGAGGGGGGAGAGCAGCAGTAGGGGAAAACTAAGAAGCCGAAGGGTGTCGTTATGAAGGGATGGGAGACACCCGTCTCCAGGCCAGGACGTACCCGTATGGCTACTAAGAAGCTGACTGCAGGAGCTGATGTAGCGGAGCAGCAGCTTGGGACCGAGGAGGCATTGCTGATTCTACCGCATGGCTATGACCCGGATGAGGAGGATGAGCCTGCGTACTGTTTTCTTGCCCCTGCACCAGAGGAACCAGCTAGCATGGAGGAGGCATTAGCTGGACCAGATAGGGACAAATGGCTGGCTTCTAGGGATGCTGAGTACCAGAGCCTGCTGGAGAATGGGACTTGGGAACTAGTGGTGCTGCCTGAGGGAAAGAAAGCGGTACAATGCAAGTGGGTTCTAAGGATCAAGATTGACGACAAGGGGCAGGTCACCATCTACAAGAGTAGGTTGGTGGCTAAGGGGTTTATGCAGAAGGAGAAGCGGGATTTCAATGAGATCTTTGCTCCCTGTGCCAAACCCCCTACCCTTCGTGTCTTGTTGGCAGATGCAGCTGTTAGTAGGAAGTTCATTATCCAGATGGACATATCAACGGCATTCCTCAACGGGATTTTAGAGGAGGAGGTGTTCATGACGCAGCCGCCTGGGTATGAAGATGGTTCGGGCAGGGTGTGCAAGCTGAAAAAGTCCATCTACGGCTTGAAGCAGGCGCCACGCTGCTGGTACCAGAAGCTGGCAGCTGTTTTAGAGGAGATGGGATTCAGGACCAGCAGCTGTGATGAGAGCCTCTTTCTCAAGGGGGAGGGGGAGAAGCTGGTGTTGCTTCTGGTCTACGTGGACGACACTCTTCTCTTCAGCAGCAGCATGAAGGAGATCCAGAAAGTGCAGCAGCAGCTGATGGAAAACTTCAAGTGCAAGAACCTTGGGGAGGTAAAATACTACCTCGGGATGCACGTAGAGAGGGATCCAGATCACAGGTGGTTGAAACTGCACCAGGAGAAGTATATCAAGGAGTTGGGGGAGAAGTATGGGATTGAGAATGAGCGCAAAGTTGCAACTCCCCTGCCAGCAGAATTCGAGCTTGTGAAAGCTGCAGAGGATGAAGGGGTTGAAGTCGAGGAGCAGGAGCAATTTCAGTCCTTGGTGGGCAGCCTCTTGTATACAGCTGTTCACACGAGGCCTGACATCTCTTTCTCGGGTGGGCAGCTGGTTAGGGTGGTGCAGAATCCATCAGAGGAGCAGGTGGATGCAGCTGAGCGTGTGGTGAAGTATCTGAACTCCCACACAAGCATTGGAGTTCAATACTCCGCATCTGCACAGGTGAAGCAGAAAGGGGTTGAGGTGCTGAAAGAGAAGGGGGAGAGGCTTGGAGAAGGAAAGCTCTTTCTCACTTGCTTTACCGATGCTACGTGGGCCTCTGAGAAGGAGGATTCTTCATCTGTGGGAGGATACATCTTGTTGGGTGCAAATTATCATTGCACGACATCTTGCCTCTGTTTGTATGAGTATGCGTGTGCGAATGCATTTGGGTGTGAATGGATGTTCGTGTGTTTGTTTGCTTTTGCAATTTTCGCTTGAAGCATTTGCAGGTACTCTCGCATTATGCGCTTCGGCACAACATTGTACGCGCTATGAACAGTACAAGCAGAAAAGACGAGCTCGCAAAGGAACCCAAGATGTAAGCTTTGCGGTTCGGTTGAATTGATTGTGCAGATTCAGTTCTATCCAACTTGTAATTGTACTGTTTTGTTTGGTTAACTATAGTGTAGCAGGGCAGGCACTATAGGGGTACAATGTAGGTGAAGGTTGGATGTTGTTTGTTTGTATCTGCATGCTACAGGGCCAGGGGAAACCAGCAGAACCAGCTTTTGGCTGGTTGGGCAAAGACGAAACATGTTCTGTTTTTAGGACCTGAACCTGGTTGTTGTTTTCCCAGGTTGGAAAAACAGAACCAGAGGTTGTTTACCAACCTACTACCTGTTGTTTTGTCCAGCCAGGTTGGTTCTGTTGCTTGGAATTATTTGGGATCATCCCTGGTTGTTCCCAGGTTGATTCCCAAGGTCCTTGCTAGCTAGAACTATTTATTCCTTCTCTGTTTGTACCTGAATATAGTCAATTTGATTCAAGCGAATTCCTCCCTTCCTGGAATTTTGTTTCTACGCGGTGCGACGGCGGAATGCTACTTGAGTCAACGCTAGTATGCTAGCACTCCAACACTAGGCAAACGCTGTCCGAGCCATAACTTCGTAATGGCAGAACTTTTCGCGAGGCAACTTGGTTCATTTTAAAGCTCTTGGAGCGAGCTTTGATATAGGAAATTCTCAGCTTAATCCGATCAACGGTCTGCACGATACGCTGCGCGACGTTCAAGGTACTCTTGCTGTTTTGACTAAGTCCCTCTTGATCCCTCTCTCTACAAACTCGGACCCGAGGATAGGGGCTGGTCTTGTACCAGGCACCCAAGGACCCTTGGAGGTGACCCCGAGGAGAGGTTTTAAGTTTGATAAAGTCTTAATAGCTTGAGTTTATTAGGCCCTTACACCAACACCTGCGGGGTGCAAAACAGTGGCGGTGTTGACCCCCACACCCCTCCCCTTATACTGCAAGGAGCAAACTGTGAAGCAGTAGTGGTGGGGCTGCGAGCGGTGTGCATAGGTGGGGTGCGGTGGCAGGTGACAGCAGCAGAGGGCCACCGGAGCACCCTAGGCACAAGGTGCAGACCCAGGGGTAAAACATATTTAAGCAGTCTTTAGGGTTAAAAGGTTGGCTTAATCAGGGGCTGAAAAAGGAGGGGGTAGTACCTGGAATAGGGGGGTCCGCACCATGTGGGCTAGGCTGCTTCAAGTGGTCTGGTTTCATGCAGGGAAGGAGGCATGTAGCATGGATGGAAAGATGAGGTGAGAGTGCAAGCAAGCGAACGGCTACGCTGCGACAATTGAAAGTAGTGAGAAAGAGGAGGCAAAGAGGAAGAGGCTTGGGGTGATGTACTTATCTGCTGCGGCTGGTAGTGGCGCTGCCCCTCCTAGCCCTCTCTGCTCCTCCTAGCCCTCTCTGCTCCTCCTAGCCCTCTCTGCTCCTCCTTGCCCTCTCTGCTCCTCCTAGCCCTCTCTGCTCCTCCTAGCCCTCTCTGCGCCTCCTAGCCCTCTGTGCTCCCTGTCCCTCAACCAGCTTCACAGCCCCCTAGATCCTGGGGGAAGGGAAAAAAAGAGAAGTGGAGGGGGTCGAAACGGGAGAGACAGAGAGGAACAAGAGGGCAGAAAGGCAGGCAAATTAGAAGGGGGATGTGCGGGCGGCGATGTCGAACGGAGGGGAAGAGGGCAAGGCGCCAGTGGAGGAGACATAGCCACACAAGCCACAGACTCCCGAGGGAACCTGAGAGGGTAGATCTGAGGGGGCTGTAGAGCTTTAGGGAGGCTGAACCTGAACCAGAGGGTTTACCTGCAGTAGTGGGGAAGGGGGTGCGTGGCTTGGGACCTGGGCTCCAACCAGTTGAGACCGTTTGACAGGCACGGTGGGCGCAGAACATGCAGGAGAGGAATAAAGAGCGGCATGCAAGGTTGAGTCCAATGAGGCTTAGGGCATGTTGGCATGAGCGGTGAGGTTTGGTTGGCGCCAGAGAGGGTGGCAGTACGAGAGGGCAGCCTGAGAGAGTAGCACTTTAGTGCGGGAAATAGGCGTTCTGGCTGCTCTATGCCCATGTGGTGGGTGATTGGAAGGATTGGAAAAGAGGGGATAGCAGGAGAAGAGGAAGAGATGTATTATGGGCAGCAGGAGAGGCCAGAGGGATTGGTGATGAAGAGACAGTAGGAGTGATGGGAGGAGTGACAGTTCCAGTTAATCCCTCATTGGGACCTTGAAAAACACAGCAGCACGATATTCAGCCAAACTTGCCACCGACGTGCCACTGACCTGCCATTGACCTGCCATTGACCTGCCATCGACCTGCCATCGACCTGCCATCGACATGCCATCGACCTGCCATTGACCTGCTATTGACCTGCCATTGATCTGCCATTGACCTGCCACTGACCTGCCACTGACCTGCCACTGACCTGCCATTGACCTGCCATTGACCTGCCATTGACCTGCCATTGACCTGCCACTGTCCTGCCACTGACCTGCCATTGACCTGCCATTGACCTGCCATTGACCTGCTATTAACCTGCCACTGACCTGCCATTGACCTGCCATTGACCTACCATTGACCTGCCATTGACCTGCCACTGACCTGCACTATCTCGTGGGCAGCCCACGTCCCTCACAGCATGCACCTCCTGCTCCCGCTTTCTTCCTTGCGGAAGGTAACTACATGCACCCAGCAGCGTGCTGCTACCAGTGACCTGCTGGTGACTCTTGTTCAGTCCACGCACATCCTTCGCCCTCTGCTTGCTCTTAAGGAAGCAAACTGCCACGGGGCACCCAACAGTGTGAGAATGGGAGGGGGAGTGGGAGGGGAAGGGGGAAGGAGAGGGGGTGGGAGGGGTGGGGGAGGGGGAGGGGTAGGGGGGAAAAATACGTTCAGCCAACTCTTCATGGGTAAGGATGGAAGATTATGGAGGCCTCAGTTCATGCCTATAAATGGAATGCTGTTCAACAGAATCTGACACGGCTGGCAGGGTGTCGTTGTAATTCTGACGTTTTTTTTTTTTATCTACGTCAATTGGTGCCATTTTTTTATCTACGCCAATTGGTGCCATTTTTTAATATCTACATCTGTGATTCTAATCCTATACTGTGTCGGATAGACGTTCATACATGAACGCCACACTTCAACCCAGACAAACTATTGACTCACAAACAAGTACCAAGCAACCCACCCCCCCACCAATCACTCTCTCACTCACTCACTGAAAACGCACCTCCAAGACTCCCTTTGCTTGTCCCAGACTCCCAACACCTAGCAGCCTCGCCCAGCTTTGCCTGCAGCATCCCATGCACCTCAGCCTGGGTGAGCATCCCATGCACCTCAGCCTGGGTGAGCATCCCATGCACCTCAGCCTGGGTGAACATCCCATGCACCTCAGCTTGGGTGAACATCCCATGCACCTCAGCCTGGATGAGCATCCCATGCACCTCAGCCTGGGTGAACATCCCATGCATCTCAGCCTGGGTGAGTATCCCATGCACCTCAGCCTGGGTGAGCATCCCATGCACCTCAGCCTGGGTGAACATCCCATGCACCTCAGCGTGGGTGAACATCCCATGCACCTCAGCCTGGGTGAACATCCCATGCACCTCAGCCTGGGTGAACATCCCATGCACCTCAGCCTGGGTGAACATCCCATGCACCTCAGCCTGGGCGAACATCCCAGGCACCTCTACCACATCAGCATCCTCTACCTGGGTGAATAGTGTGCCCGCCCCGCATGGGTGGGAGTCCGCAGTCCGGAAACCAGTATAGGAGAAGCAGGTGCAGAGCTGGCGGTACAAGGGGTGGATGGGGGAGGGAAGAGGGTAATGGGTGCTCAAAGGGAGGTGCGGTGCAGCATTGGCGAGGAGTGCACTCAGCAGCCCGCAGATTCAACAGTGTGCCGATTCGCCGTTACGCTTTTGAGGATTCTCAGAAGCGATCCAGGACTTAGGAGCAGCGCGCAGGCAGCCTCAGCAGCCTGCAAGTTCCCTGTGAATAGTGCAAGCATGCTGCAGGAGTGGCAATTCATGGGCCAGAAACCGGTGCAGGAGAAGCAGGTGCGGAGATGCGGGTACGACGCGGAACGAAGGTTGGGAGATGTGGGACGGGGAGGGGAGAGTAAGAGGGTGAGCAGCAGTGCGTCTAATAAGACGTCTCAAAAGTAATCATCGCAGGGGTGAGAATCCGTGGGTCAATACCGCACGCCAGAGTGGGTGTAAGAGAAGCAGGATCGGAGCTGGGGAGGAGAAGGGGGGAAAGGGGAAAGGAGGAAAAGGTGCAGTGGCTTGTAACAGGGACGGGGAAACTGTGCTTTAGGGACAGGCGATGACGTTAGATGAGCGGAGGATAGAAATGGGGCTGAGTAGTAGGAGGGGATCAAGAATAGGAAGGGGAGGGGAAGTAACTGAGGGGGGGTTGGGGTAACGTATCTCACCTTGGCTGCAACCACCTTTTCAACTCACCTGGCTCCAAGGTAGTTGCTCGATCCACTCACCCTCACAGCCATTCTACTGCCACTTGCAGCTACTCTGCGGTGAACCGTCACCAGCAACTCCCACCAGCAACTCCCACCAGCAACTCCCACCAGCAACTCTCACCAGCAACTCTCACCAGCAACTCTCACCAGCAACTCTCACTAGAAACTCTTACCAGCAGCTCCCACCAGCAACTCTCACCACCGACTCCCACCTGGCAACATGCAGTAACCCAACCGCCCCATTACCACCATCGCCGACGAGTGACTCTAGAGATGCCTGCATGCGACTCCCCCAGACCCGGCACCCCACCCACCCCGCACGAACTCTCTCTCACCATTGCGATTTCAACTGCCACCCTTCACAAATCCTCTACAGCCCCCGCACTACCTCCTTGGTGTTGCTGGATGTTTCTCAAAATCCCCTAAAATACGCTTTGTTGAGTGACTTCTCCTTTTCACCGCTGCGCGCCTCCGCAGGAGGTGCTGCAACGCGGAGCAGCACCTCCTGAGTTGAGATAGAAGGCCGATAAGTCGAAATCTCCACCACTTCCAACAATGACAACTAATGGAAGTTTTCGGGCAGCCTGACGACTCATAGCAGCACACGAGAGAAAACCGCGTGAGGGCTGGCAGCTCGCAAAAGGATTCGGGCAGCTCACGAAGCTCTTCTACGAACGCGAGACTGAGGCTCTTCAGGTTTCGCAGCTGCCCGAAATCCATGGGTATGAGGGTTATGGGGGATCTTTGAAGCTCCAAATGCTCCATAGCCTTAAGATCGCAGATGGAATCGGGCAGAGCTTCAAGGGATTCCATAATAACCCGCTTCAATCGCAACAAGCAGCCGATCGCAATAACCCACTTCTGTTCATCAGAAAGTTTGTATGTCAGCCTCAGACAGGCCTACAAGCAAATCGAATATACAGGAGCAGTAGGGGGTGCTCTGAACATGATAGTGTACGGGCTGGGGTCTCCAATGTTGCTGGGCTTGGGTGTCTCTGGATCGAGATGGGATGATATACCTCAGCCGACGAAAAAAGCAGCCCAATTTCGCGGTTGAAATGGGACAAGGGCCCCCCTCGGGATTGACGAGCTCTTGACGACCTCCGAGTGGCAAACTTGGCCTCGGGGGCCCTCGGGATTGACGACATTCTGACGACCTCGGGTTTGGCTGGGAGATTCCTGAGAAGTATATCTCAGCGGACAAAATCGCCACGTCGAGCCGCGACTGCCGCCACATCGACCAATAGGGAGGACCCAGACCGTCCCCACCGTGTACTAGGCTGCCACGACGTGGCCACGCGTCGCTCCAAAGCAGATTTTTTCTTCGCAGAAAGTCATACATCCCTTAGAAAACGTCAGAGCGATCCACGCAGCGCAAATCGGACCGTCCATGGTGTATCTGTTCTGTGGCATCGCGATGTCGGTGACGACCAATTCATCCAAAGGCCCACAACCAAGCCACGCAGCACAATCTCAACACAGTCTAGGTTCAATGAACCTTACAAAACACCCAAGCGCGCCGAATGGAAGTCGGCGCCAATCTTAGGGCGCCTACGGTAGGGTTGCCACGCTGGGCTTCAATAATCCAGGGACCCTGGGAGATTGGAGTCGGCATGCCGTAATTTCGGAACTGAGGGGCCAATGTCGGTCCCAAGCTACGTAACACACGCCCATTCCACCGTGGAAAGACCCACGCAGGCGCCCTTCGGTGCATCGCGGCGTCACAGTAGCCACGCTTAGCACGTGGCACGTCGGACAGTGCGCCGCCTTTACGAGAACACATGCATGGCGGCAGAAGCATAGGGGTTTGCGTGAAGCGCGGCAACGTCGGAGTCGCTCAGGACCGTACCCATCCATGACCGTGTGGGCCTGCTCATTCCCATGTCAGTTCCTGCGTTTCTTCCTGCTCTCTCGTTCGCTTAGAATTTTCAGCTGCTAGTCTGTCATCGCGCCTGTAGGTTACTCGGTTGCCGAATATTCGACTAAGTCGGCACAAGTTGCTTTGACTTGATCAGTACTACTCGACGTCGACGTCTGCTGTTTTAGCTATAGATCGGTGCAAGCTCCTAACGTCTCGGCCCACCTAGCCAGTCGGCGACGTATGGTCAGAGGTCGCCCTAGATCCCAAGAGCCGCAACCCATCCCACCCCCCGCCAACTCAGTAGACGCCGACATCAAAGCGCACCTGGAACGTCTCGAGGTCGAAGCCGAGTTAGACGCACTTGAGCGTGAATTTGAAGAAGAACGCCGTGCAACTCTTCGGACGTACACCGCACCCGTGACTCAGTACCGTCTCTGGTTTACCAACCTCCGCATCGCACACCGACGACGGTAGGGCAACATACGTGCTGTCACATGGCCGACGTCGACATGTCCGACGCTAGTCCATCGACCGAACACAGTCCGACATCTACCGAGGAAGAGACGCACCCGTTACTCTACGATCTTGACAAGCTGGTGCAGATTCCAGAAGGGGAGTTCACCAAGAACATTCCCCCACTGCCGATCGGGGAGTTTAACAAGAAAAAAAAAAGAATCCGACGCAAAATGGACAGCCAGGATCTTCGTCGGCACCGGCCAGCACTGGGGTAGGGGTTGAGGAGGAGGAGGATGGGGAGGATGAGGAGGAGGAGGAGGAGGAAAGCGATGACAAAAACGACGAGCGTCTACCGCGTAGCACTAATCAGCGCACCTTGGAAGAACGACTCAGGAGGGAACTTGAATACATAGCTAATCTGCTCGAACAGGACGAGGATGAGGACCAGGAGAACTTGTCGGTGCCGCGCGAACAGTGGAGGGCAGCAGACTTCGTCCAGGAAGACATGGTTTACCCGTGCATCGACGTGCTTGTCATGGACGCCCTTCGCCACCTGCAAACCATGGAGAGGAACAGCACGCTGAGACTGTACACCGCGTGGATCTATCACTACAAGAGGTGGGCGGCGAAGATGTTGAGGCAAATTCGCAACAAGCTTCCGCAGGAGCACAGGCTCAGGCATGTCGACGAGATAGGGCACTACATCCGGGACAACAAGAAGAAAAACTGGGACCAAGAGACCGATGTCCCCCGGGCGTACCTCTGGCTGCACGGCCCTAAGGTCACCAAGTCCCGGCTTCGCGCATACGTGAAGTACTTCAGGCTCACTCATGCTCAGCACCTCCAGCCCCAGCAGCTCCAGTACCTCCAGTACGAGCACCGCGAGACCAGCACCACTCCCAGTTCCAGTGACGTCAGCAGAAGTAACTTTTGCGGCAGAGCCCCGAGCTCTAGAAGCGCGACCCTGACGGCGACCGTACCACTCGTGCAGCTGCTGTGAGGTGAGAGGCACACGCGGATGAAGGCGGCTACTCCAAGGAGACCGCGCAACAGCAGACTCAGAACCCTTAGCGCCAGCACCCGCAGCAGCTCCAGAACCTCCAGCTCCAGCACCATCAGCGCTAGCACCTCCAGCAGCTCCAGAGTCTCCAGCTCCAGCACCCTCAGCAGCTCCAAAACGTCCAGCAGAAACAACTCCAGTAGCAGAGTCACCAGCTCTAGCGCCTCCCGCAGCAGGGCCCCAGGCTCAAGCAGCGCGACCCTGACGACCAACGTACCACTCACGCAACGGCTGTGGGGAGAGAGGGAGTCGACGACAAGAGTGCAGCGGCGAGGCACCAGCGGAGCGACTACGCAGACGGCCGCTCCAGGGAGACTGCTCACTAGACGCCTCAGCGCCCCCAGGTGCAGCACCCCAAGACTCACTACCCCCAGGCTCAGCACCCCCAGACTCCGCACCCCCAGGCTCCGCACCTCCAGGCTCTGCACCCCCAGGCGCAGCACCCCCAAGCTCCGCACCCCCAGGTTCAGCACCCCCAGAAGCAGCACCCAGAGCAAGACCACCCTCAGCAAGACCTGAGTCACCAGTGACCTTAACCGGCGCAGTCAAGGGAGGAGGGTCTACCTGAGACACACGTGAAGGAGCAGGACCGGGAGCGGGGAGGGGGTCTACCTGGGGAGCACCTGGAGCGAGGAAGAGCGGCGGGGGGGGGAGAGAGGGGCAGTGCGGTAGGGGATGAGACGGCAAAAGGGAACTGACTCGTCGAACGTGACGTTCTGAGAGGGGAAGACACGCACGAGGTGGGGTGGTAAAACTGGCAACCATGTTGGATGCACGTTAATCTGAGTGCATGTCATCCTAACGTCCTTCCGAGTGCTCGTGCTATTCATGCGTGCATTGTTTGCATGAGCATATGTCATTGTGCATGGCTGTTGGATATTATCATCTCTGTGTTTTTCTCCAAGTTTAAATGCTTGAATATTCAGGAGAAATCCAGAGCTTTCCAACGATACCAAGATCGCCTTATTCCGACCAAGATCGCCCAAGTTACAAGATTTCCAAGACTTGGATTTCTTATTACCTTTTGGAATTATATCTAATTTTTGTGATTACTTGGACATGACTATAAAGGGATCTTTGGTTGGGTGGTTAGGAAGGCTACTTTGACTTTTGGATTGGGGTGGCTAGACGTTTCTAGCATGGGTTTTGCAACTGTTGCAACACCTAGGCAAAATCCAACTAGATTGGATTTTGCATGTGACACCTCAAAGACCTCATGATGAGGGTTGCATCCTTGCTACTAGGAAGGTTCCTACCATCCTTTTCTAGCTCTTGGAGAACCCCTTCCCTCTCATGGTTCTCTTGGAGTCCCCAACTCCAACTTTCCATGTCTACATGCTTGTACTTCCTCTACCATTCTAGTCATGCGGCTGCTGGACGTTTTTACTCGGTTCTCACTCTCTAGACCATCTTAACGACAGATTCAACTTGGAGATGGTACCTAAGGCTAAGGCGCACAAACCTACTGAGCGGATTTGCATTTAGTTGAGCAATGTGTTCGTCGTAAACTCTCAAAGTGACGGATCCTGAAGAACAAACTAGGCGCGTCAGGGACAAAGCCAAGGAAGACGTAGGGAATAGCGCCGGCAGGGAGCTTGTCCGCGGTGGTATCGCGGACAAAGGCACGAGCACCCCAGACCCGGAAACGTGAGACATTGCCGACCTTCCCCGTCCACAGCAGTGTGGGCGAGGTCTCCGGTAAGGAGACACGGGGCCAGAGGTTGAGCAGATGCGCGGCGTACAGGACAGCAAACGGCTACAGAAAATGGGGGGCAGCTGCATGGGTCATGGAGGTATGAGCGACCTCCATGACTAAGCCAATGCGGCGCTCAGCAACCCCATTCTTCTGCGGAGAGGCCGGAAGCGTGAACGTCTGGCGGATGCCGTGCTCCGCACAAAAGGCTGC